TTAAAAAACAATTAATATATATATAAATTTGGCCCAAAATTAAAAATACAAACCAATTAAAACATTTAAAATTTCTTCTTAAGCCAGCCCGGCTTGCTGGAAAAAGTGGGTTTTAAGGGCACGGCGGAAGGCACTAAGGTCTTGGATTCTCCTTATCTCTGGGGGCAACTGATTCCAGAGGGTAGGTGCCCCCACAGAGAAGGCCCTCCCCCTGGGGGTCACCAGCCTACATTGATTGGCTGATGGCACCCTGAGGAGGCCCTCTCTGTGGGAGCGCACGGGACGATGGGAGGTCGTCAGTAGCAACAGGCGGTCTCGAAGATAGCTAGGCCCGATGCCAAGGAGCGCTTTAAAGGTGATAACCAACACCTTGAAGCGCACCCGGAAGACCACTGGGAGCCAGTGCAGCTCACACAGGAGCAGTGTTACATGGGAGCGCCATGCTGCTCCCGTCACTACCCGCGCTGCTGCATTCTGGACCAGTTGGAGCCTCCGGGTTCTCTTCAAGGGGAGCCCCATGTAGAGAGCATTGCAGTAGTCAAGACGAGAGGTGACCAGGGCATGAGTGACTGTTCACAGGGAATCCCGATCAAGAAAGGGCCGATGTTGACTGATGAGAGGCCTATTTCTCAGTCTTCAATCACTTTCCTGGCTGTTTTTGTGCATGCTCATCCAACAATCTTAGTAGCTGCAAAGTTGAATATGTGTCCAGGTTCATTGCAGTGTGAGGCTGCCAATGAGTTCAGGTCTCCTTGTCTGACTACTCGCTTGTATTCTTGCAATCTGATAGTTAGCTTCCTCCCCATTTGTCCTACACAGGGACAATCCATGCAGGGAATTTGGTAGATTACATTAGAAATGTCCCCCACCTCCAAGTGATCTTTACAATGCATAATTTATGGTAGCCTCTGGGCAGTGTGTTCTTGCAGATCTTGAAGCTCTGTTCTACAGCTTCTGAAATGTATTTGATGTATGGTGTAACTAATTCTAAACATGTACTGTACTAAAAACATATTAAAGGAAAAAGCCAAAAAGTCAAAATTATAAATTAAAATATATATCTTTTCAGTTTCAACATTGTTTCAGTTTTAACAATGAATTTAACCTAGATTGTACTAAATCATAATATCTTATCTTTTCTCCCTGTAGTTATAACACAGATTTTATCTTTATTGGCAGTGTGTTGTAAAATTATCTTAAACTCTGTTCTCTGCTTCCAACATTTTGTTCACGTTCATCTGATAATTACGGAAAGTATTATCCCCTTGTGATTTCAGAAAAAAAGCTGTTTCACAACTTATCTTGACAGGGCAGTGCTCAGTATAAAAGAAAACGATGAGAATTTTGACAAAGCCTTGCAATTGTAGCCATGGAATGAATACCAAAAAAAAAAAAAAAAAAACCCTGTAGAACAATTACTAATTTTGGTCTTATATCTCCTTTCTTCAGTATATTTAACTATGTGTGCTAAGATTCCTTTATGGACAAGAATTATCTGAGAGTACAGACCTGACTCTCGAGAACAAAATAGCTTGGAATATAATGACTATGTTGAACATAGTCCCAAGGAATATAGAACTACATCATAAGGTAACAGCCACCAAGTGCCAGACCAGTTGTTCCAAAATAGCAAATCATCAGTCCAATTACAGAAGAAGAATGAAATGAAATGGCAGGAATATTAAATAAATTAATATTTAAATGACATTTTACAAAGGGAGAGTTAGAAAAGGCTATGATGCAATATGCAGTCATGAAAAGCTGGCTTTCTATTGACCAGCCAACTTTGAGCAAATGCATGTTGAGGTGACAAATAAATGAAAACTATAGTGTGACCCCTAAAAGAGGCTTTGTGCAGTTTACAAGCAAAACAAACACCGACACATTCTCCAACAGAAGTGGAGAAAAAGATGGGGGAAAGAAATTCTACCCATGTGACTGCACACATTTTTGCCACTGTTGCACACATTGTTTTCTTCATCCTGACCAACAGTGCTCCTTGTGGCATCCCGTCTCCAAAAGGCTTCCAATTCATGCTATATCAACACAAAGCTGCCAATTCTATTAAAATTCCTCCTTCTGTTTTCACAGACCAATAACCCTGTACAAGCGGGGAGTTATTTTTAGCCCAGACATAGGCAGAGAACAAGCGATTCATAGTTTAAACTGAATTTATAACAGAATCTTCCTCACTATGCTCATGTTCTCACACCTGTCATGATAATCACACTTTGAAGAAAGTTTCCAGTGTTTTCTAAATAAGTGCTGCATGATTTATGGAAGGAAATCAAAATATTTTGCATCTTATCATGCCAATATAAGTAACTGTTGAGTCTCAGTTAAGTAGCATCATGGCTTAGGGATGATACTAGGAGGTTCTATGTAAGAACCAGAGGTTGCATGCAAGGGCATCCTTTTTTATAGAATAAAATAGAATTTTTTATTGGCCAAATATGATTAGACATACAAGGAATTTGTCTTTGATGCATATGCTCTCAGTGTATATAAAAAGACAAGATACACTCATCAAGAATCACAAGGCACAACACCCAGTGACAGACATACGGTACAATAAACAATCAAATCATACTGGGAAACAATCAATATCAATATAAATCACAAGGATATAAGCAACAAGTTACAGTCATGCAGTCACAAGTGGGAGGAGATGGGCGACAGGATCGATGAGAAAACCAATAGTAATAGTAATGCAGCCTTAGTGAATAGTTTGACAGTGTTGAGGGAATTATTTGTTTAGCAGAGTGATTGTGTTCGGGAAAAAACTGTTCTTGTGTCTAGTTGTTCTGGTGTGCAGTGCTCTATAGCTTCGTTTTGAGGATAGGACTTGAAACAGTTTATGTCCAGGATGCGAGAGGTCTGTAAATATTGTCACAGCCCTCTTTTTGACTCGTGCAGTAAACAGGTCCTCAATGGAAGGCAGGTTGGTAGTAATTGTTTTTTCTGCAGTTCTAATTATCCTCTGAAGTTTGTGTCTGTTTTGTTGGGTTTGTGATTCTTGGCTCCCCCACAGAGAGGATTTGACCATATTTATTTGCTTTTGGGGATATGAGGGGGCAAATTAGTTCCTTAGGCCTCTTCAAGACTTAACAAATTCAGCTCACCCATTAAAAATATGCCTACCAATTTTTTAAATGCAGCGATCAATGTGCCACATAAACTTCAAAATGAGCAAATGAAAATTGTGCATTCTTGTCCCAATATCATTCATGAGGTTATATTACATCCATTGAGTACCAAGAAATCACTGGGGTTTGTCATAGTGGTTGTGCAGATCTGTCATAGTGGTCAATGAAAAGACTCAAGCCGCCTTGAGTCTTTGGAGAAAGGTGGAATACTAGTTGAACAAATAAAAAAAAATAAAAAAATAAAAAATGCTGTACATATAATCTAGAAATGGCAGAGTGAATTCTTTAAAAAATGGAGCTCTTCAAAAATACTATAGTGAATGATAGATTTTATCCAAAGAATGTGATGGGATCACTTTATTCCTTATTACACTTCCATCATTCTGGCCATCACTGATATTATATCTCATATTGATATTTGATTGAAAGTTACAATTGGACTAGGAAGTGCTTGCAGTATGTTAATTAGGCATTGTGTTCTGCTCCTTAAAATTGACATAGTACAGTATGTATTATATTGCTTAGATCAGGAGTCCCCAACCCCTGGTCCATGGACTGACACCTGTCAATGGCCTACCAGGAACCAGTCTACACAAACATTGAGGCCCCATCTGTACACATGTGGAACCACAAAACCATGCCCTCATCGTTTAAAAACTACTCTCCACAGAACCGCTCCGCAGCACCCAAAAGGTTGGAGGCCACTGGCTTAGATGACTTTGTAAAAAGTTAGACCTCTACCCCAATAAGTTTGCAAGTTAAAAACTAAAGAATTTAAATCTTCAAGTCACATTTAGCTCCTGATGACTTTGTGTAGGTTTCTTCACAACAATATAGAAACACTTTGTCACTGTCTCCTTCCAAAGTTTTTTTTTTTTCTGACTTCTCAGTTATCCCTAGGAATATCCTCTGGTAGTCTTAAAATGCTATCCAGGCCCAATCCTGTTAATTTTCCTAGTCTAGGCATGGTCAGCCAAGTAATTTTAATTTCAAGTGAATGAATAATGAAAAGTTTACAGGAAGCTTTTAGAAAAAACCTCTCCTGATTATGTTTGGAAGAAGGTAAACTTCTGAGCTGAGTTAATTTCCAAAGTAATCATTGATGGAGGATGCTGAAGCCAACATGCATTAATTTGCCATTGCAGCTGTACTGATGGTAAGCAACATAATTTCAAGTCAATTAGTCACAGCTGCTGTTCTGCACCTGCACTGAGATGAACCATGGACAAGTCACTAATTTTGACAATCTAATTTTCAATAATTCCTCTGTCACATTGAAAAAAAGAAAGAAAAACAAGATAGAAATGAGATTCAACTCAACCAGCTGACTGCTTACCCCATATTCATTATGAATGCCTTAGGCTGGCATCATTAAAAACTCTAACCAGGGATTTCTAAAATCACTGGACATGCCCTAAGGCTCTCTGAGGTTTTGTTTAGTTGAGGGCAGTTTTGGGCTAACATCATCTTTCTTTGTTTTTCACTAAGTATATTATAACCCTTTGTTTCAAACCAGTTAAGCATCCAACACGAACACGTAGCTCATCTTTTCTTTTCTTTGATGAAGATATTAATGACATCTGAGCTGTAGTGGTGCAGAGGTTAGAATGCAGTATTGCAGGCTAATTCTTCTGACTGCCAGCAGTTTGATTCTCACCGACAAAAGGTTGACTTAGCTTTGCATCCTTCCAAGGTCAGTAAAATGGAGACCCAAATTGTTGGGGGCAATATGCTGACTCTGTAAACCGCTTAGAGAGGGATGTAAAGCACTGTGAAGCGGTATATAAATCTAAGTGCTATTGCTATCGGTAAAGTGACATTGAGCTACGCTTAATATTATGCAGATGGACTTACACTTGCACAATTGAATTTTATCCTGAGATTTCTCAAGTGTTCTTCGGTGTCCTCCATCATTACAAACAGATTTGGAGATGTGCTGCAAAGGAAAGGAAGGAGACAAGGAATGAATATCATTAGTGCCAACTCTTAGTCATTGTATATAGTTCTCTTGTTTCCACTCCATATAAATCTCTGCTGCTGAAAGGAAGTCCATTCACTGAGGAAATATCCTAGACAAGTGGGAAAAGGAAGCAAGAATATGTGAATGTAAAACTTTTACCAACCCTAATGAACAGAAAACCAGTAATAATGTCTTCCTTCCCACATTATTCCCGAAATGTTCTTAAGCTTTAAAAAAAAAAATCAGAAGAATCTTTAAAATAAAACAGTCAAAGCTATTCTTTTTTGGCAAGGGTAATCAAAATTTCATATACTTCAGCATTCCATACTTCTGGTATTGAGGTTTCATTTAATGTGAATATTTCTCTACATGTTGCATTTGATTAGATTTGGAGGTTAAATTAGACAAGTGAATGGAGAGCTTAACGGTATTATTGATTAAAGTATGACAGGTCTCCTACTGTATAGTAAGAGCATCTCACATTTCAAAGTATATTTGAGAGCCCTTCAACTTTCCATAACATATAACAAGTTGGTGATTTTATGATTTTTTAAAAATCCCCAAAACATTTAAATTTGTCTCAGTTTTCTATTTGTTTATTTAAAAAGAGGAAAAAATGGTCTTCATCAACCAGAAATGTTTACCACATATTCCTGTCCATTACGTCTGTGAGAACTAGGCCTTTAGTTCAATTTCTTTTTGTTTCCTAAGAGGAAACAAAGGAGGGGCCAAGGGAGGGGTGAGAAAGAAGATTAGCCATTCTTGGAAAAGATTTGACATAATCTGTTGAATAAAAACAAAAAAGAGAAGAGTAAGTCCTACTTTGGGTAATAACTGCTTAGTACAGTGGCTAATGCCTGCATATTTTTCAGTACCCAAATGATGATTTACTGAAAAATAATTGCTTGTTATTATTCCCCTGGCTCCTCTTTAGCTTTTAATTATCCCATTTGAATTTGCCATTCTTATCTCCAAGAGGGAAGCATAATGTTGTTTACTCCTTTTTCCTCTTGCCATTGCTCTGTCTATATCAATCACTTCATTCTCCTCTTCCTCCTCCTGTAGAATTCATTTTTATGTTGGTATTTCATAGTGCCTAAGTCAGAAATTATTTCAGCTCGGAGGCACCATGGAAACACATCATGTGCCAGAGAGAACTGGATCCAGTTTTAAATAACTTAATTGAAAGGCTGCAAATCTGAAGCCAGGTATATTAATCCATATTTTTTAAAAATCCTACTTTTGACCACCTGGTTCCACAGAGACCTAAGCATGGCTTACAGTAGAATAGCATCAATATAAATTCTGCAGGGATTAGAATGCAGTATTAGCAGCAAATTCTGCCCACAGTCTGAAGTTCAATCCTGACGGGACTCTAAATTGACTTAGCTTTCCATCCTTCTGAGGTCAGTAAAACGAGGACCCAATAATACTTGATGAGTTCTTGGAACTAACATCAAAACATTGTGCATCTAGAGCACTTAGTGCAAATCTTGGTTTGTCAAATAACCTACTCGGTTGTTTGCTTTTCTATTAACAATCAATTTGACTAAAATATAGCAAAATGGCAGGGAAATTTTCTGCCCAGTTGCAGATTGTATACTTATCATTTGAATTAATTATGTGTTCACAGATCAATAAAAAAAACAAGCACAGTATATAATTGAAAGGAACAAGGACTAGCAAGCAACTTAATGAGTACAAAGCAGAACTTGTTACAGATATACAGGGGACTAAATATCATTTCACCGGCTTTCCTATTTTCCTAATTCTAGTACAAATGGGGAATACACTGTAAGAAAGGCAACTTGGGGAAGGAGACAAGGAAGGAAGATCTACAAGAGCTGATTCTGATGGAATTCAATTTTTGCATGCACCAATGTTCCCAATAAACTTATACATCAATAAAATTATACATCATAGAGGCAGTTAGATGTTGGGATCATTCATAAAGAGTATGCATGTTTATTTCCTTCCTTGGTTACTTTGCATATCTGCATGTAACTTGCATATTATGTGCATACTCACATACACATACTTTGTTGCAGTGTCTCTATCAGATTTTTCTCAGTTGTGTGGTGGTTATCTTACATGCAGAACTTCACTAGTTTGAAACCTGGTAGGAATATTTTTAATGCTTTTACCATTTCTCTGATATAGCCGATTAATTTTCAATAAATCTAACATTGCACCATTCTGACTCAACATTTTGACAAACTTATTTCTTTTAAAAAACATTAGCCCAGTTAAACAGTAGGTAGTTGAGGGAAAGAAAAACAGTGATTAAAGAAATTATATTGGATTCTGAGTGGGGAACATTCTGCATGTTGAATAAGTATTACAGCAAAGAAGAAGTTGATATTTACCCATGCAATAGCCTGTACGAGAGGTTGCCTAGATGAAGTTAAAGCTTAGCAGGCTTAGCGATAATAATAATCATTGAACTAAAACAAGCCAGAAAATACTACTTTTAACACAGTGTGGGAAAACATGGACAGAGGCCACACTTATGGTGAACTGAAAGAGAATAAAAGACAGTCATATTTTCCTGTCCACTAGAAATCTGTTGCCTGTACTTACAACAATAAGTGTAGATGTGTCCAGAGTTTTGCAAGCAGAAATAAACTGAGACCCCCAAAATTGACTTACAGTGTGAGATATAAATATTGATGGATGATGTGCTATTTATTTCTGTCTATTTGTTGAGCAACCATCAACATGGATGATGGAGTATAGTTCTGTTAATACAAGTTCTTCTAATACAAGTTCTTCTAATACAAGCGTTTCATCTCTGCTGGCTCCTTTGGAGCTTAAGTCAAGGCAGTAATATTTTGCAATATTTTTGTGTATAAGTCGGGCAAACAAGTCATTTAAGTATACAGAGTTTGACAATTATCCTACATACTGGGGTAATTTGGCAACATGTGTCTATGTTCACAGCATTCTCAAACAGAATTAGATTCAGAATAGAGTTGGAAGGGACCTTGGAGGTCTTCTAGTCCAGCCCCCTGCTCAAGCAGGAGACCTATTTCAGATAGGTGGCTGCCCAGTCTTTTCTTAAAAACCTCCAGTGATGAGGTACCTACAACTTCTGAAGGCAGGAGGTTCCACTGGTTAATTGTCCTCAAAACAAACAAAATCAAACATCAGAATCTAACAGGTATATGTTCTCTTGTTTGATAAGAACAGTAATGCCCATTTCATTCAGTTTTTAATAGTACTATGCTGAACTGTTCACTTTTTTTTAAAAGTACTGGTTTCCATTCATTCATTCATTCATTCAAAAATAATAAAAAAGGAAAAAGTAAAACACAAAGACAATTATAACAGAAATGCATACATTGTCAAAGAAAAAAGCACATACAATGTGCTTCAAAAAGTGAAAAAAATACAACAAAGAAAAAACAGTAAGATATATTATTTTAATGTAGGCATGATCCTGCATATACTTATTTAATGCAAATATTGTTCAAATATGTATATATTTCTAATACCTGGTCCACTGAAACCCTCCACCGACACATTGTCTAGGCAGTATAGGAGCCTCTAATTCTTTATTCCACTCATTTCATAGCATCTGCCTAACAAATTGTTTTATTGATAATAAATATCTATAAAAACCAATAACAGCTGTTTAAGTTTTAAAGGATTTAAGTAGATTTTCTAATACCTCAGGTGTCTCAGAAGCTAAAAAACGCTGCTGATACAAACAATGTTGTTAAAAAATATTGTAGCTGTGAATATTGCCACTGAGTTATATCTGATAGATGGTATTCATCTCTTAACAAAACATACATTAAAAATTCATCTTCATTATCTGTCACTTGATCCAAAGTCAGTATCCCCATTTCCATCAAATTTTTCCACATCACCTTCTTTTTCCCAATTTTTAGTTGGGTTTCACCATAAAGTAAGTTTAGTATGGAAAAAAAAGATCAAATCTTATTTTATTAGACATTACATTCCACAACTTTCCAAATGTCATAATTGTTTTCAGAGATACTAGAACGTTAATGTATTTAGATCCTAATCGTGTTCATCTAAGCAAAGTTGCTATATATTCCAAAGTTGTCCCTATTGGAAAATCAACCAATTAGCCAAAATAGTTGGCATCCAGCATTTGATATTTGACAATAAATAAGCATGATGATATAGCTCCAGATTCAGAGCACAGAATTCTCCCTCATTAACTGGTAATTACATTTTCTGTAAATGTATTCTCAGAATAAAAAACATTAAGAAGCGTAAACATTTTCTGTATAAATATGGACTTGATATTTCTTAAATCAATGGATAACCAAATTTTCACTTATTGACCTCAATTATAATTTGATCCAACTTTATCCTGCTATTTTACTAAAGGCATCTATCATTTGCACCAACACTGGAATAATGGCATGAGATTTAGAAATAAACAAAACAATGTTTTCTAAAAATACAACCAATTTGTTTTATACATCTCCTTATGTTGTCTGATAGCACAAGTCAAAGGTTCCACAGCATATTAAAAAGCAAGAGTCACAGTAGACCTCATTATCATATTTGTCTAAATATTTGGAAAATAGGAGAATATAGGCCATTAACCTTTACTTTAGATGGGGGTGAGTCATGTAATATCACAACTTATTTTTTGAATTACATCTCCATTTTGATGTACTTTTACAAAATTATCTTCTTCTGGCAATTTCAGTAATTCTGCATATCCTTTATAAAGTATTATGTATTTTGACCTTACCCTTTTTAAAATGTTTGCCAATAGCTGTGTACCTGTAGTTTAAAAAGTGGATTTTGTTAACATCAATGCTGGAAAGGCATTTACCATTTTTATACCTCAACAATTTAAGCATGTATCTTGATTGGTCATTTCTTTATCACATTTTTCATAATCTGTACATATTTTCTGCTAATCTGTTTGAACATGAAAGTGAGTTCAGTTTTCCACTCTGAAAAATCATGCCAAATGTATATCTTTATTC